TTTTCATAATACTTTCGAGTAGAATGGTTACTACATAGTTACCAAATACTTCTGATAGAAGAGATTGACTTCTGGTTATCGTCGTAGATAACACCATTGCTAATAATAACCTGTCACCAAAAACTCCGATGGGATGAAGACTCCAAAAATGACCTTCTCGGTCTTGACGTGCTACATTTTGCATAGTGCAACGATCTGAGTTGAACTATAAAAGCTGTATAAGAAAATACTTCAAAATAATAGATGAAACCAACAAAACGCAAACTGTTCCCTTCCCTTCCGCTGTCGCCCTTCTTGTTCGAAGTTTGGTTTTTTCCCAAGAATATTTAAGGTTGTTACAACATCTTCTCCCTTATTTGCACACTGAGATTCTCAGGTTAAAGGCACTGTTAACGAAGAAATGGTTAAGGAGATTTGCACATGATTTGAATTCGACGCCCCCTCTGATACCATTTGTGCAGGAATGAGGTCGGAAAACGGTTGGATAGGGCACAATAAGGGGCCGGAGAGTTATCCACGGTCGCTCTCCGCCCCTCGCTAGGCTGGCTACGAGTTCTAATTGTCCTTCACCACATTCGCACTGGAGCGAAGTTGATGAAAAGTCGATAAGCCCCGAACACTCCTTAACCGCCGTTATTTCAATGTGAAACTCGTCCAACGCCCCTTTCCAGCTCTCTTTTTTTTTGACCCTTTGTAATTCTTTTTGTTCATCGTTTTTTGCGCTTTTTCCGTTGTTATCGCATTATTCTAGAGGGTTCTATCGAAAAAGGGTACCGAATTTATTGCTAACGCTGCCTTTAATTCATTGCCTCAACGCATGGTTCGTCTCGATAGCATTGCTAGTCAGTTTAAAAGAATTCGTTGAGATCGCCGGAGTCTCTCGCTCACCATCTTGCTGGACTATTGCTAAAAATGTCATTCGACCGGGCGAACTTCATGTAGTGTGACTCATACTGTTTGGTGTTTTTTACAGCTTCTTCATTCGTTCTTAGCAGTTCTGCATGGTGGATTTTGCTGCCGTTTGATTGTTATGATTAATCAATGTGAAGTTCAGGAAGCAATGCTAGACAGTAGCACTAAAAGGCACAGTTCACGATAATTTTGAGATATCTAGGTTGAAAAGCGGAAGCGTTGGTGTGGAGAGTGCATCGGTGGCGTAAAAAGCGAGAAAATCCGCTCACTCGAAGCTTTGTAAAATAGCGGAAGTGAAGGTTGTTGGAGGTCACCGTGACAGTAATGATTGTAAGGGGTGTTTGGACGAGATTTAACTTGCTCCCATCGTGCAAAGAGCTTACTTCACCAAACTATAACTGTCCAGAGTCACCTTTCACTGTCGCTATGGGTTGAAAAGTTGTTTGAACTTCCTACATTGGTTCTCTTGTAAATGGTGCAGCCTCTACAAAGTCTTTAAAACTCGTCCACTATGGGTGTGGCATTCACATGATACAATCTATGGTTCCTTATTGTGCCCTATCCACGACCTTTTTTGGCCCTTATAACGGCAGGTATAGTATGAAGAGGAGCCCCGACTTCATACTATCGGGAAATCTCAGAAACCATTTTTATCAGAACTGTGCCTTTGAGCAGATGTTCAAAGGTGGTGCCTTATTCTTCACTCCAGTTCCAGTCAATTGGTAGAGATTAATATTTATTTACAACGTGACTGATCGAATGATTATACTTGTTGTCAATCTATCCTGCAGAAGAGCAAATAAATTGTTAAAGGAAACTGTAACGGATTGAGAATTTCAACTCTAAGCTTCCAGCTTCCTGACGTTGCACTAGGCATTCCCCTACACACCCCCGAAATGATTCGAAACTTTGCTACACATTTCATTTTATTCTTTCCTCTTTCCTATAATTACATTTTCTTATTCCTCTAGTCAGTCAAATCGTCAGACTTATGCAGGGCTCTACCTCTTCCTTCAAAGGGGATCGCTCGGTTGTCCCATTCATCCTTTTCAGATCGGTTCGGGCATCAACTTGACCGGATTTACTAAGGGAGGGGAGCTCGGGTGAAACAGAACAATGCAGCTTTAACTCGATATATGCTAATGTTCAGCTCAGGATAAAGAAATGTTGATTCGTTACCCTTGACATTAAACATATTCGTTCATTGGGGGTTTCGTTCCTTCCTCTTAGTTTGTTCTACTGGCACAACAACTTATCTTCTTAAACTAAGCAACCTTAGTAATGTCAATAGAAGTCAGTATGTATAATTCTTCTTATCTGCATGGATCGTCTGACATAGACTTCATAGAGGTAAAATGTGTAGGTAAGATGTAAATTGCCACTCTGTGAATTTGAGTTCTGTTTGTTGAGATAGTATCAGGGAATTCGGAAGCTATCTTGTGTGTTCGAGATTATGGAAATGTTGGTCAGATGCAGTGGGAAAAAGTAGTGAACGGTGGCACGAGCTGATCAGAGTATCAGAAGGCATGAGCTACATACTGAAGTGATCACGTTGTCCTGTCCTTGTGCGTGCGTTGTGTCAGAATAGGATAATCTACTATAATTCTGTAAAAATCGATAGATGGAAGGGATGAAGAGGTATCTTATGAAGTTCAGAGCCGTTTCTGGATCCTAAACCACCAAAACATTAAAGCCGGAGGTGTTCACTCAAGAGATGCCACACTGTATGAAACATGTATATTTATTAAGTGCATGCTTTATAGGTGAAACTCTCCCGACAGATTCCTGAATCACGGCTCTTGCTCGACTGAGTTCGTGTGGACTGAAAAATAAAAAAATATTATGACTATTATGACTCAGAAGAGGAGAAAATAAAGGGTTACTAATCCATGTGTCAAAATATGGAGCAGTAGGAACGTTGTTCAGCTCCGAATTACCCCTGATCGGTCATTGGTGCTCTACCTGAGCACACCAACCAAAAGTTGTAATACTTAATAGTTAGGCGATCCAGTACTACCCAAGAAAATGAAGGAGCTCAGCAGGGGCAGAGCTTGTCGCCCACCAGCAGAGGCTGAAAGTGCAGCGACGTATCTTCTCCCGGCAGCTGCTCCTTTTTTTGATCGGCATTGCAGTGACTACTACTGTTGTTAGCGGTCCGTTCCTGCTGTCCCCCATAAATATCAAATTCTAGAGTAACAGACAGAAATTAGGAAACCCAGTAGAGACATAGCGACAAGCGCTGCCTCTGACAAGCTCCCGTTTTCCGTTCGTCTTCAAACACTTTTCAATATCTCCTGATTCAGTTATTCGATCCCGAGGGAAACCGGTGGCTTTCGGTTTTTCATGTCTCAATATGTGTGACACTGAACAATCGCGAACTTCACATTAATAAACTTAAGGCGACACTCTATCTAGTCAGTCAGGAGATTTTTGAGAATTCGAGTACGAGTGACGCCTTATTGTTAGATCATAGGTTATACTTCATGTGTAGGAACCATGTAAGCGTAGCACTATGATGTCTCCTAGGATATTGGGTTCCTTCACAGCGTTACCGCAACGAATGGGCGCGTACCACCGTCGCCTCCCTTTTTTAGAAAAAGGATGTCGCTGACGTTTTCATAACGCCATTCAGGTCCAAGAAAATGGAAACACTTCAAAAAAATCTGCCTCTCGACACGTTGGTGGCACTTTCACGCCGTTCCATCTCCATCACATGTCACCCTCTAGGTTGCGGAGTAGAAAAAGAAGTTCCAACTAATGTTCCATGTAAAAAGCCTGTTGAAGTTTTGCATGATGGTGTGGTACAATTACTGAAAGATAACAAGACTCTTACTTAGAGCGTCGTAGCATAAGAGGACAGTCTATGTCGTACCCGTCTCGTCTCGGCAAGCACCTCGACCTTCATTTGGAACCACAGTGGCATAGTTGATGCGCGTTCGGCCTATTCTTGTCGTCTGCGGTGGTCAGAGGGGGNGTCGTTTCTAGCCGCCCGCATCAATTTCTCTTAATAGCGTTTTTCCAGCTGTTTCTAGCAGTTCCCTCTATTGGTATTGGTTTCAACCAGTTGNTTACGTGCGTCCGAGGATGAGCGCGGCAAATTGCGCGGCGAAGTGCGTGACGGTTCGAACGACCCTGGCGCCTGCCATTTGGACTCTAATTCAAAGTAGAGTAGATTAGTATGATCAGCTGATTCTACTGATCTACTCTACTTCAGATTTGTGCCTCAATAATAGACGCAGGAGCTATTCGAATCGCCGCACACTCCGAAGTGCAATTTGCCGCGCGCATCCTCGGACGCACGTATGGACCCATACCCGGTCAGAGGACGTAATAATTTCTGGTTTCATCCTCCCATACAGGCGGAGGTCGTGTTGTGGCATGTAGCGCACTATCTCACACGCACGGTTAGGGGTTCCAATCCCGGATCGATATCCGCCTAGGCCAACCAAGCCCTCCATCCATCCGGGATCGTTTAATTGGTACCAGACTCGTCTGGGAGGATAAAAGCACTGACATGAGCATTGACTGGCCACCGCAAGTCATTGTTAAGGCAATAAGCATTCATTACGTCACTACGATTCTGAATGGAAGTCGAGTGCGGGGGAGCATCCCACAGACCAGATTAATTAAGGCCAAGAACTTGATCCCTATCCTTTATCTTCCCATACAAGCCTGGCCCATTTATATTCGACCTTACAGGTATAGGAGGCTTGGCTGGTCTCGACGAATATCGGCGCGGTATTCTTCCAAGGATCATGTGATGGTACGCCTCCTGAAACCACACTACCTCCGCAGTAACATTAATTAATAGTTTTAATTATGCTTAAGATCCGGAACTGTCAAGAGAAGACCTTATCGTTTTGAATCAAAGCCAACGGACACAGTTCCGAGTAAAAGTTTTGGAGAGCAGGACTAGGTGTGGGTTTTTCTTTTTTTAGTGCCTTTTGCTTGAATTTTTGCTCTACGAGCCAAACCACCTCGTAGCCACAAGAAGCGCATTCCTTCCCGCAGAATAGGTGTGCCTAGTGATGGGAAAGAAATGTTTTCTAGTCAGGTGATGAAAACGAGTTTTTCAGTGAATTAGGATTTTACAAACGAACCCAGGCAGAACGGGTGGAATCGTTAAGAATATCAGCTATATCAATATCGGAGTCCTCATTTTCCGTGTCCTCGGCGAGGCTCTTCTTCTCGCTGTGTATGTTAGACTCGTACGGCCTGTCTGATGGAGACTAAAAACGTATCTAAAGCAGTTTGAAGTTTCCCAAGTCCAAAAAACACGCACCTCGCTCGCATTCCGATTCCCTCGTGGGATTTCCTTTAGTACTTGTATGCTCCTCAGTAGCGAAACGGTGTCGGATCCGGCCAGAGGAGGCGAGGTTAATGTTTCAATTTTCGAGTCGACTTCTGCAATAGGAAGCGCTGAAAAGTTGAATAATCTCGAGAAAACGAATGCTTTTAGCGATTTCATCCACCGCCCGAAAGCAGAAGCAGATTTTGCTAGAAAGTAATAGTTATGAGTTCATTCAGAAGTATCTCCATTAAAAGCTGAGTAGACCTTTCCATAATGTGTAGTAGAAAAGCCAAGAATTGACTCTGACTACTAGATTATTCTAGGTAATATGCCAGCGACGATAAAAATTTGAACATACACAAGAAAAAATCGCTTGAGCAGCAGGTTTTACTGCAGCCCAAACCTACATCCAGGATCAAAGGCGGACGAGTTTTCCACTGGAGTTTTTCTAGTTTTGTGTCACAAATATCTACTTTTCCATCGTATTGTGGTGGCGGTCCTTCTCCCAGAACTTCTACCGCTAGCAGCAAGGTTTCGCGGCGGCTACCGCATCCTTCCACTGAGAAGTCCCTGAGCAGTTTTCGTTTACACGGATTTTTCGCAATGATCCAAGTTATGTATATATATATATATATTTACTTATTTATGTACATAAATAAATAAATACATATAAATGTAGTGATTCCGATTGCCATAGTCACATAATTTATGTTTTAGCACTTGGATGTATTTGTAGCATCGCGATTGTTAGAAAGCAAAAGCTTTGAAGGATGTATTGTCGTTCCCACCCGTACGTCGCCAGAGTCTAGAAAGGGAAATCACAGGCAAATACATTATAACCTACACATTCCTACTTTACCTTTTTCAAAAGAGAGCGAAACACACTTTCAAGCATTAACTTCCGCTTTACATGAATTTACCTCAATGACAAAGCGGTATCTTTCACGTGAACAGATTTTGTAAGGAGTTGCTCGTAATCTACTGTGATCCAGTTGCATGTGTAAGCTCGATTCACTTACATGGGCCAAAACACCCTGTCTAATGGTGAATATTGTAGCTTCAGTGAGTAGATCGAATTTGCGCGTGAAGAGGGAAGAATTGAAGCACGATCTGTTCTTTTCTATTACATATGTCGTTTCTAGCCGCCCGCATCAATTTCTCTTAATAGCGTTTTTCCAGCTGTTAGCAGTTCCCTCTATTGGTATTGGTTTCAACCAGTTGTAGCAGAGTCTCCCTAGATATTTTCTGCCTTTCATAGAGATGGCTCCAAAAAAAATGGACAGACTTTGTTCGAATTTGAAAGTAACTATATAGGTAGAGTGCACCATTATACCTTTTCCATTATCTTTTGACGTTGACGAAACATTTTGTTCCGGTCGTTGAGGTAAAGATTGCAGCAGGCGAAGATTGACATCCTTTGTTTTCCGTGTCGGTTTTACATGATCATTCAGAGAGCCATTAGCTAGGTCGTCTTGCCGAACGCTTCCTTAAATTTAGAGCGAAGATATGTTTGAAAATCAAAAGAGTCCGTGTGTTAATGGGGAAGGACGAGTGCTTCACCTCGTTCATTTCGAACTTACTAGAAGAAACCTTTTTTCTGGCATGAAGGAAAAATACAGGCTATTTGCAAATGGAACCAATTAGCGACAACGTACCCTCTCCAGATCTTACTTCGTTTTCAAGCACATCGCCCTCCGCGTTTCGTAATAGCGGTCGAACACCGCTCATATGATTCCTGCACAGCTCTAAAAACCAGTTTAACTTGCACGAAGATAAGCTTTAATAGTGAGAAAGCTATCGCCCCTCGCATTTACTTACACCTTTGTGCTTTCTTCCATTACCTCATATGATTGAAACAATCACCCAATCCCACGTCTACGAATATAAACTGGTTTCAGAAGTGGTCCTGATCTTGTGAAAATCACTGACATACTCCAAAATGGCTCGAAAGAACTTTTTACTAATGTCGCGGTTTTCAGTGAGACACATACCACCGAAAACGACGTAAAGCTCTAGTTTTGAATCTGCATTTGAAGTTGGGAGGCTATTTTTCATTTGCTCTCTGATGACTTGACATTCTTAGCCTATACTTTTAGTCTTTGGACGTTTTTCCCTTTTATTATATATTCTCATCGACAACAGATTTTCTGAAGCTGTGAAAAGAAAAACAATAAACGATGAGTTGAATGAGTTGTTTAGCATCAAAGTCAAGCATCCAGCGCCAAGGCTTATAAAGCTTTTGAGAAACTATTCGCCAAGCACAATCCCGCAACATTCACTTATACTGTCTAATTATTTTTTATACGGTCGACGTCGAACAGAATCTTTGCATTCCTTTTCTCCATTTGGTTGATACAATATTGCTGATAACGAGGTTTCATGTTTGAAAATCACGTACATTATAATTGTTTTAGAGACTTCTTTTGACAAAAAAAAATCTTTTTTTTTGTAGGTAATGTAGTTTTTCAGAAGACTCTGATAGCTGGGTGCTGTACTACCAGCACTAATCACCCTATAGCATCCTACCATTCCTTACCAGTCTTTATAAGCCCCTATCACCAACTGTGTCTGCGGGCTCCCGTCACGCCATGCAGCACCAGCAAAAAAAGTGCTACGAGGGTTGCCTTTTATATTTTGAGATTTGGCAACACTAGTGTAGCAATCTAGCAACTGACACCACTATCGTAAAGTTCGACTATTTTGAGGATACGCTGCGAAATTTGAGCGCGATTTGTGTTGTTTACACTAAGTTATAAGATTTTGTTTGGGCAAGTTATGGGGTTGACTCGTGAGCATTTTCGCGCGGTTATTTTCTACAACTTTCGACGTGGGCTAACTCAATAGCAATGCATGGATGAACTTAGTTTAATTTTTGGTGATGAAGCTCCATCCAGGGCCAGTGTTTATCGATGGTATAGGGAGTTCACCCGAGGTCGAATTTTACTCGAAGAAGAACTTCGTGGAGGTCGTCCAAAATCAGTTGTTGGTCCGGAAGCCGTTGACACTGTGCACAAACTAATATTGCAAGACCGTCATGTGACCTATCGTGAGATTGGGACAACCTTAGGCATTAGTGGGACCAGCATACATTCAATATTGCATGAACATTTGACTGTAAAAAAATTGTTTTTGAAAAATTTGTCAATCCCCCAGAAAAGGGACTCGTGTCGATTGGTCGAAAGAAATGCTCAAAAAATACGATCGCGGTGCTTCGAAACACGTCTATGGCATCGCAACAGGTGATGGATCATGGATTTATGCGTCTGAGCCCGGAAGGAAACAGCAGCCGACCGTATGGGTGTTCCAAGATGAGCCAAAGCCAATAAAAGCTGGCCGCGCACCAAGCATTTCCGAGCAATTGATCTCCTGCTTTTTTGGAAAAACTGGACATGTCGCAACCGTACCACTAGGACAAGCAGTACAGTCAATTCTGAGTGGTATACCACCATTTGTTTGCCAGTTGACTTCCAAAAAATCAGGAAAACCAACTGCTGAAGACGGATCACACTTCACCACGACAATGCGAGCTCCCACACATCAAAGAGCTCAAACAACTTCATTTTTGAGCGCTCAAAACAAAGATTTGACAGGTCTTCAGCCATGTAGTCCCCGGGTGACTTCTTCTCATCCCGTACGTAAAAAATAAAATCAGAGAGCAACAACGTTTTTTGACACTTGAAGAAGCCGTTGATGCGCTCAGAATCCATGTTTTAGAGTTACCTACATCAGAGTGGCAAAAGTGCTACGAAAATTGGTT